AATGAATGTATGTATCACAACTGCATGCGTAATTTTGTAAAAATCTAATTTTCTTATCAAAATATTTAGTATTGGACTGAGAAAAAGTCGATTGTTGGTGTTTTTGATGTAATGCGATATCCACGAAACCGCTCACAACTATACCAATATTAAAAAGAAATTACCACATGATAACATGAATCGACAAAAATAATAATAATGATAATAATGACACACCCAATTTTTTTGCATAAAGTTTTCTCCAGCAACTATTATCAGATTTTTTATTTACATTTAAAGCCGAGGGTATAGTAAACAACTTTGTTAACATAATTAAAGTCTCTAAAATAATAGGATCATTTATTACTACATAATTAGTAGGTCTATTGGTTGTTTGGAAGTCAAGATGAACCTGAAAGTTGAGCTAACTTAGTCATGTAACAAAAAGTAGTAAACTTACAAAAAAGTAAAAAAAAGTAAAAAAAAAGTAGTAAAATTAGATACACTACCATAACTACAGGAATCACAACCTCGTCAAGAGCTCTAATAATAAATTGATCCAGTTTTACGAGTAAATCACAAAGTATGGTTAAGTTTGTAAGATTCTTTTCATTCAAATCATTTCGAGAAATTTCTTGATTCAGGCGTGAAATTTTTGATCCAAGAACTTCTAACATTATAGACACAACCTCTAATACTTTCAAAGGTGAATGAATACAAATGAACATCAATCATGTGACATTCCAAAATATATCACTATCATATTATACTCACGATGTGTTAAAGAATGTAAGCATTCACCATTCCATCGAATACGATTATTTCCATCATTCCAGGGATTTTCATAAAAATAACGAATCCACCAAACGGCACACGTATTTTTTTTGTCACTGGTAACATCATGATGTTGTAATAAAATTTCACCACCAATCAAATTCTCACATACGAACTGTGAAACGACACGTTTTATCAAATTGTAAATATCATCAATATTAGTTTCAGACAAGGCATTTGTATTGCCAGAGTTGTTTAAAATATGAAGGTTAACATGAATTCTTGAATAAAGAGACAAATTAGTAGCATTTTTAATGCCGAATTCCAATAACCAATCGACAATTAATCCGAATATCTTGATAAGTTGTAAGAATTGGCACCGTTGAACCACTTGAGCAGTGGGTGGATGAAAAGGGGTTGAACAAGATTTGATCTGACCTTTTTAGATAATAACATAATTAACATGTGAGTTAAATTAAAAAATGACACATATAAGAACAAGATAAAGCAAGAATAGTATTATAACTTTATTATAATAAAGAATATATTTAGGGCGGAAAATCTGGGGATCACGAGAACCAAATTTAGTTTAACATATGAAATCAAGGGGTGACCATCTTCGGTAGTAAATTCGTGCATACAACCAAGACAAACAATAAAACCAAATAAAGTAACCTTTGAAGTCCTAATTAATTTTATTGCTACAAGAGGTAAGGCTAAGAATGATTACCACAAATAACACCGCATAACGTTTGAATACCGTCAAAGAAAGATTTCCATAAATCTTGAAGATCTTTTACAGAAAGAGATGGAGAAGACATCGAAGAATCTAGTTCAGCGCACCATCTCGTCACGTATTCGGACCATGACGAAAATACCTA